TTTAGTTATACAAAGATTTTTAAAACTGAATTACTAGATTTATTTGAAAATCAATTAAGACAAATGGAAATTCGTTTAGTCTGCAGCTTTGCTGCGGCAGGGGTATTTTGTATTACGACCGTATTTCTAAAGAGTGCTTATAACCACTATTATAACATTTTTCAGCATTAAATTTCCTATAATTTGACATCCAAAAAGTTATTTTTAAGAATATTCAAATTTTGACATTTTTTTCAAGATGGCTGCCAAAAAAACGTATTTTGCGCCACAGTACGGATGTATACTTTTAGTATGTTGATTAGAAGCATACTACCTACCATTCACAGCAAGAATCATTTCTGTTGCAATTAGTTCCACCTTAAGCTATATTTTCAGTTATTTCTACTGCACTACTAACCTAACTTAAATTACAAATTTTCCCCCTCCCACCAACCAGATGAATTGGCCCCACAATCCGGAATCCCGGAAAATCCAAAAGTGAATTAGTTCTGGGTCAGTCGCACTGTCCACTGTTTGAAAGGCTGGCCAGCAACCCATTAACTGTTCTTCCAAGTGAGGTTACTCTAATGGCAAGTTACTACAAGTTATCACTTATCGGTTTGAAGCGAAGTCCCTCAGACTCAAAGGGGGGGGGGGGTTCCACAAGTCCGTTTAGACCAAGGTAGGCCTAAGTCTATCTGGAATAGGCTCTGCTCTCCACGTACAAGCGCACTCCACCAGTCTCTCGGGCAGTCCACAGGCGAAATTCTCAAGGCACGTCAGCACTGCACGGCAGTAGGATACCAGAGTACCAGCCCTATATAAATCCCAAAATATAATAGTATGGCGTATACGGTACACAATATTTACACTGTGGGGGGAGGGGTTAGGCCTATTGTGAATTACAAACAACAAAATACATATAAGGTTCAATATAAAGCTAAATAAACATGAAATTTGCAGGAGACATAATAAAATAATTTACAATTTTACGGACATTTACCTATTACACAAGAGAACAATCTAATAGTTACACAAAATTCAAAATGAGAGCAAGTTGCGCTTTCGCTTCGATCAAACAAAATCAGTCTCGGCTTATTTACAAAATATTTTCAGCGCCTTATGACTTTCTGAAATGGGCTTGACTCAATTCAGCTTAGGCCTAACTCTCTTGTGAGATTAACTTGCAAAATAGGCTACAATAATTAATCAAGTAAAATGGCAACATGGGAAAAATACTAAACCTAACCTAACCTAACCTAAAATGATATACTCTTCTTGCACCACAAAACCAGCATATTACCTACTAACCTTGAGCCTAAGAAATAGGGCTTATGAGAACACTTGGGTTTTTTTTTCAGTTGAATAGGCTAGGCCTAGGCATAAAATTCAAGTTAACAAAATTATAAAATTTAAAAATCTACGATTGATGAATTGAGAGGCAAACAACAAATCTAGGCTATTAGTATCCTTGAAATTATCGAAATTATTCCCAAAAGCAAAACTTGGAAACATGTGCGTCACACCTTGCAAACTTTAACATGAAAAAGGTCCAAGACCAGAGGCCTATCTTACACATTTTAAACAAAACAGAACTATTTTACAATTAATTAGCCTATCAGAAAACAGGGTTTAGTGAATATTCTACTTATTCCACATTGAAATCTCACTTGAATCAAAGAAATATCTCTAAAAGTTACATTTTCCACAAACTTGTTCAGAACCAGACATGAATGGACTGTGACGACAAAGCTTCAAGTTTTAATTTAGTTTTCCTTTAAATCAAAATTTTGAATCATAAAATGAAATGAGAAAATATGTTAAAAATACGAATTATTCCTCTGCCTTACCTCTAAAATCAGCAAGTTGATGCTTTTAATCCTAAAATTCAAGCGAGGGCTACTTTAAGATGTTCTATCTTCGATAATCAGAAATGGAAAGGACCTAATTCTAGCCGGGCGTTCACTGCGCCAGCCACTCACTCCATCCGAATCCAATTGGAACCTAGGCCGTCTGTTAGCCTCGAACATGGTTTTTTTTCCATGACTTCTTGGCGTTGAATATTCTTACAATCGACCGAGGGTTATTATGGCCATTGTATGAGCGCTATTCTAAAATACAATGTTGAAAGTAATTGGTTGGGTGATCAGTCCAACCTCCAATGGTGGCCCACAATCGGATTGTTACAAGCGGGTGGACAACTGACCATGAGGTCTGCTCTTCTGGCCCTTCTTCGCCATCGCCCCTGGCGGCGGGGTAGGTAACTAGCGTCCTCCCCTCTACGAAGACGTAGGACGGCCTGCCCCTATGATGCCGCTGACAACGCGGGCGCGGCTTACCCCGAATGTGGAAAATTATTATCTTTGAAATACAACTTTAAAATGGATTTTTACCCCTCGATGGGTTTTGGGTCGTTACACCCTAATGAACAAATGACCATAATTTTTTACTTATTTTCACATGACAAATCCAATGAACTATACACAATCGCAGAAGACAATCATAGTGCTGTCGTGATTGCAAGATAAATACTTAGTGTTCATTTATAGTCATAACAAAACATTGTTTTATTTTGTTTTATGATGCTACTTTACAGAATTTCCTGCTAATCCGAACAATTTGGTGATTCAAACAGAATGCAGTCCCAATTAGTTTGGATTATCAGGACTCTAATTTATTATACACACTTCCAAGAGAATAAAAAATCTTTACAGATATCTTCCAAAGAAAATCTTTCTAAAACTTTTAAAGGGACTGCTATCAAACCAATTTACCTAACCCGCCATGTTAAACTTCCCTATCCCAAGCGTGATGTATACAACTTCCTTACTTCTCGAGTGATGTAAAGTTGAAAAAAACTCACTCGGTGATGTAATGAAACCCATTTAAATAACATTGAGTGGATAACTTAAAAAATATACCTCTATGGAGCCAACGACGTTCAACGCTAGAAATCAGCTGTGTGTTTGGATTTTATTGTTATGCTTTGAAGAATTTTCCTAACCTAGCTTTTGTTTGTAAATGAACGTTACTGTTAGAAGATGAGTGAAATTGATAATGAAGCATATTGCTCGTAACCTCCTGAATATTGTCGGGTCAGGTAAAATCTTGTACGTTACACGTTACGCAAGAGCGTGTTTACATCACTTAGGTAAATTATGCAACTCGCTTCCGCTCGTTGCACAACATTCACCTGCGTGATGTAAAAACGCTCTTACTACACTTGTAATGTAAATAGATATTAAAGGTGCGAATTTAAAAATTTTAAATTTTAAAAGTTAAGATCCGGATTTGTTGCTTTATGAGTTGTCAAAAGTAATAAATGCAATTCATAGTGTGTCAGAAAATGATCATTTTTCAAAGATCCCAACATTCGGATTGCAATTGTTTTGTATTGTTCATATTTTACATCTTCAGTTTATTGGCCCTTGTATTTTGTACCTTCATGGTATATTTAAGTGTTTGCTTGGACGCTCATTCCTGTATTTTATCCTTGTGCTCAATATTTGTTTTACACATCTACACCTTTTCACATAAAAAAAACACCACCAATGAAGTTTGTTTTGACTGATCAGTTGTAAAAACTCCATTGTAAATTGATTCAAAGATAAAAATTAAGATGTTTGATAAAAATTTAAAAAACATTGGTCTATTGCATTTTTCACACCCTGTATACAAGAAAGTGTCGGAATATGTTAAAAACTGTGCCATTTTATAAGCTTTCCAACCATATGCTACACTATTGAGGTTTAGATATTTTTTTGTTTGTTTTAGTGGTTTGAATACCAGAAAACGGGGAACTTTTTTACTGTTTTTACTGTTCAAGCTGAAACAAAATACAACTTTTGTTTAATACATGCCGACTTTCTATGTTTTAAATGTTAAAGACATTGTAGTCTTCAAACCACTAAAGCGTATATAAGCAGACATAAAGCTCAATGGTGTAGCATATGGTTGGAAAGCTTATAAAATGGCGCAGTTTTTAACATATTCCGACACTTTCTTGTATACAGGGTGTGAAAAATGCAATAGACCAATGTTTTTTAAATTTTTATCAAATATCTTAATTTTTATCTTTGAATCGATTTACAATGGAGTTTTTACAACTGATTCTCCATCATTTTCTATTATTCTTATTCAAAATTTAATGTAGAACACGAAAATGACATTATCTACTCAAATCCATATTCAGGTAATTAAGAAATCGCTGTATTAAGTTTAAAAGCATGGTTATTTTTGAAAAACATAAAATATTTCTTTGGGAAGCTAATTTTTAGACTTGGAACATTTTATATGCATCATCACACTGCATTTACTTTGTACTTACATCAAAAAATTTTTGTCACACTGAGTACAAATCACCCTGTATAATTATAGATGTAATCAAGTTTACGGATCTTTTAAATCTGTTTTCATTTTATTTACGGAAAACCTTAATTAAATATTAAATAACACTTTAAGGAGGTAGGGATGGATACACAACTAACTTACCTAAGAAAAGAGTTTCAGGCAGTCGAAATTACACTAAAGGTTTACAGTACAACATTGTTGTTGTATGCCTTCAACTGCCAGACATCCATTCTTAGGTAAGTTAGTTATGTATCCATTTCTTTCCCCCTTAATGTATTCCTAAGACTAGTGTTTTTTTGTCCTCTAAAAAACTAACCTATTTCAAAAAATATCACAATGTTCTCTGAATATTTGCACACAAAATAAAGATCATATTTCACAGTAATAAAAACTGGAATTTCCCTCATTTTCATTGTTTAAAGTGCTAATTGATATGTTTAATGCTATTATCGACCACATTTCATTCAAACTAAACCGCCATAATATCACGGATGGTTAAACAATAGTTTAATCATTAAAATCAGCCAAAATACTACTGATATAGCAAGGCCTTCACCATTGCCGCTTGTAAAATTTAATAAATACTTACTATTGCACCAAATTATGGTTGGACAAAATAAAGGCATAATAAGAGAAAATAATTAATTTCTATGTGTTATTGTGTTATGTAGGAGGGAACTCCAGGGGTAGAACGGGTGAGTGTATGCATGTGGGCAGTTTGGTGCGTGGGCTCACTGTAATTCTCCAAGGACCGAAGAATAAACTTACATTTCCCCTCATTATTCCCCTGTTCAGAGGGGCGTCCCACGAGAATAGAATTGATTAACTTAACTGTCTCATGAGAATGCTATGTATAAAGTATATAGAGGCAAAGGTTTCAATCTATTCTCGTGAGGTGCCCCGCGCTATACCTACATTTTGTCATACCCTGTTTGTAGATTGTGTTGCCAGTAAAGCCTTCCCCTGAGTGCAGTGACTCCCATTATATTGAAAATATGTTGATTTCCTATTGGATTTAGATTACAAATATTGCACTCGGGTTTTGGGCATGCGCTGGAGTTTTCATATACCCTGATTTTGGTCATATAAATATTGAATGATTTATTGTTTCAGTCAGTGTGATGGTTTTGAGCACCTTGTTTATCCAGTGTAATTTTAAAGGAATCAGGTTGAGAAGCCTGACTCAAATGCTAGTTTGTCCTTGCTGAAAATGTTGTTAATCAAAAGTGTAATGGTTTCATAAATTGTCTTTCAGTAGAATTAAATTTTGTATACGTTTTGGGTATAAAATATTATTTTCAACGAGTAATCTTATTTGATATGAAGCAAGTTTTAATTGCTTTTGGAGAGCTTCGTATGTTTGTTGTCAAATATAGTTCTAAATGCAAATGTAATTTTCTTGAATTTTATATTGATATAAAGAAAATTGTGGATATAAAAACTGTCAAAGTCGGGGAATATTAATGTTCTAAAACCAAACAAACTTCACTATAAATTAGCTTTATTCGTTGTGCTACAAAAACTTCAATATTGTTGTAATTATATGATTTTGTTTACAGCCAGGATCCAACCTTATATCTGTCAACTTCTTTCGCCTGTTTCGAGTGATGCGCTTAGTGAAATTGCTCAGTCGTGGTGAGGGAATTCGAACACTCCTATGGACTTTCATCAAGAGTTTCCAAGCTCTGCCTTATGTGGCTTTGCTTATCATCATGCTGTTTTTCATATATGCTGTAATTGGAATGCAGGTAATACTATCATTCAGCACACCTAAAAAAAAACCTAAATTTTGTATACATACTTTTCCTTTTTCCTCTGTCATATGCCTTTTCACTTTTATCTTGTATAACCTCATTCTTCTAAATCCCACAAAAATAGAACTGTATTTACCACTGGAACCTGATTTCTTTGTCTCCTTTCCTTTATCACCATCATTTCTATTTCCTAGGCGTTTTCTCTTCTAGCATGTCCAAACAGTCGTGCTCTCTTGCTTTACCTACTTTCTAGCCACCTTTTTTTTTTTGTTTTACTCTTAAAACGGTTTAAATTCTCATTTTTTTATTTCATTATATTGAACTTTAGCCTCCTGATTGTATTTAAATACTAAAGAATTAGTATAAATACCTACATTTATACGATCAAATGTGTTGCTAAATTGCAACCGGCTTCCACTCACATAGGTGTCACCGGCCAGTACAGATGTCTTCTCGCTTCATTCGAAGGTCGTCAATTCATAATAAATAAATACATTGAACACATACACGTACACGAACTCAAAAACAAACATTTATAGGGTTAAAAGGAAGGGTAATACTACAACGGCACAAAATCAGGATCGGTGTGGTAAGTGATGACGTTGTGCCTGCGGATTTCCCGATCAGCTGATAGCTTCATTCACAACTGTCCCTCGCGTTAGTATCTTGATTGCAGTGTCGTAAATGTGATTTGATTGAAAAAAAAATCCTGTCGTTGATGGTGTTTTGGCTGCCAAATTTAACGGCCCTATAGATTTCTAATTCATCCAAGGTGTTTCTATTGAATCGGTAATTTGAAAGGTGTAGGAGTTTCATATTACTATCAATATTAGTATAATTATGGTTGAGAGATAACACTTAATATTGATAGCAATATGAAACAATATAATAATAACAATAGTAATATGGTACTACTGTTATTCAGGCAACAGAACACCTGAAAAACATAAACCCTCTGTTGTCACCTATATACCACAGCAACTCTCCCTTATTCTCAACCAACAGCGCTGCTACAGCATGAATTAAAAAATATAGTTTGCCTTGTACCTCCTTGTATATTGTCAATAATAATTAAACTAAATGGAAACAATTCTTATTTAATTTACCTGTTTATCTTTTAATTGTTGCCTGTAAAAGATGTTTACAAATCTTTTATGAGGAAATGGAAAATACAGTATTTACTAGCCAACGTATGAATCAACAGTGAGTTATATAGTGTATTGACAAGTATGTGTACAGAATAAATTTTCAAATGCATATGTTATTATTATTATTGTTTTTAGGTTTTTGGAAGAATAAGACTAGCTCCATCAGTCGATGAATCACAAATCCACAGAAACAATCACTTTCATACATTCCCCCAAGCTGTTTTGGTTCTGTTCCGTTCCGCTACAGGTAGGCTACAATTGGAGTATCAACTTTTTAAATCAATGGATTTTGAAAATTTAATGTGATATTTTTGTGGTATATAGAAGTGTTGTTCATATGAAAAATCTACTTTTGTATCTTTGAAATATTTTAATGAATAACTAAATCAGAAAAAGGCTAAAAAAGGTTGCAATCCAAGCCCAAAATTCTCCCTCCCATAATCAGATTAAGCGGGTTCACAAATATGAATATTGCTTGGCAAGTTTGATCAACATTTCGTCATGATTTGCTCACGAGTGTTATTTAGTCTACAGACTCTTTAATGCTTTGCCTGAGGAAATGAAGAGCCAAAGTCCTGACCCTGGCAGGTTCAAGAGGGAGTTGCTGAAATAGCTGCTACTCCACCCTTTTTATAGCGTTTAAGAGTATAAAGACTGTCAAAACCATATTTTGTGAAGCAATATCACATCAAAAATGTTTAAACTGTATTTCATATGACTCCATTTTCAATCTTGATGATTGCGGTTTATAAGTCAGTGAAACATAACAAACAAATAATTATTGATTTTATTTTATATTCTGTCATTATTTGAATTTCTAAAGACTCCCCGAGTAGCAACTGAATCATTATTCCCAATCATAAGTGTATCCTAGAAGAGAAGCAGTTTGAGTGTTGTACTACTATGTTCGTAATTGATAGGATTAAATTTGTATTGTTAGGTGAATATAGAGCACCAAAGAGCAATGTCATTGTGTTTTTGGATAGGCTTGAAAGTATAATTAACTCTTTTGTTTCCAAAACTTTGAAAAATACACATATAATAGTTGCAGGTGATATTAATATCGATGTAGGTACTGGAAACCAACAACACTCAAGCCAAAAACACACTTTGCAGGTTTAAAAACATTTTAAGGAGTTTTAATATGAGTTATGCAGTAAATTTTCCAACTCGAGTTTTTTATGGATCAACTTTAGCTATAGATAATTTTCTTACTAACTTTAAAAATGATGAAATTAAAGCAAGCGGTGTAATTACATTACTGTCAGATGACACTACATTCATTGATACATGACGCTCAAATTCTCCAAATTGTAAATTCACAAACTAAACAAAGTAATACTGATTATAGAATTTATAATAGGAGACAATTTAGTAAAGAAAATAAAGAATTGTTTAAAAAAATTTCTGGAATCTGAAAGTTGGCAGACTGTTACTTTTTCTCCAGTTGATAAAAAAATTGATGTTTTTTTTTCAAACTGCTTTTATATTACTTTGACTAATCATTTCTAAAAAGAATAATCTAATTAAAAATAAGAAGAAAATCTTGGATAAATGATTTTAAGGGAAGAGAAAAAAACACATTATTCAAATGAATAAATATGCTTGTTTCAATAACAATTTTAATTTGGAAAATCTGGTAAATTAAGACAAACATTTATAGGAAAAAACTATTGAAGTAAAAAAAAACTGTTTTATGATAGCAAGATTAAGAAATCCAAAAATTTACATTAACATCTACCATTTTGCGCAGGATCAACCTTTTGAAGTGCGGTTTGCGGCATTGTATTCTACTAAAAAATATCTTTAATTTGATGTGCATATTGACCTATGCTTCCATTTAAGATTTTCTTCCGACTCCTTGTGGGCCGTCCCCATGAAGAGTTATTGGATCACTGAATATGTGTTAAAATAGAGTTTTATGCCCTGTAACTTTGTACCAAGTATTGTAGCTCTACCTGCATTATTTTTTAAAATATTTAACTGTCCTGGGACTTTTTTACCACCCTGTATAGTGCGTTGCTGTATCCTTATACCTTATACATAATTTTAAAATGGCTTTATCATAGTCTTAAACATTATTTTTTAATTGATTTGACACTATTCATGTACAACCATGTATACTTATGAATAAAGATTCTTGAATATGACTATAAATATTATACCCAGAAATTATATTTTGTTAATATAATCCTGTAACTGTAAAAAGATATTCCTTTCTAAAGATTTGTCTAGGTTGCCTTATATTTTGGTTTAGTATTTTATTTTAGTTTCTTAATTAAATACCCAAGGTATTAAGTATTAAATAAATTGTTCAAATAGGGGCTTGAAAAACTTGAGCCCACAGTGTACAAACACAAGGCCACTAACGTTGTTCTGAAGTACAAGATTCTCTGTAGTTTGTGTGGTAATTTAATTTTCAGGTGAAGCCTGGCAGGATATCATGTTGGATTGCTCATACCGACCGGGCGAAGTCCTGTGTGATCAAGAGACAGAAGAAAGGGATAGTTATGAAGGATGCGGGTCCAGCATTGCCTTTCCATACTTCATCTCATTTTACGTTCTTTGCTCATTCTTGGTAAATAAATTTGTTTATAAATCATACGTCAAATAAATAATTATATTTTTATATGACTGTACATGGCTATTTACATATCTCCCAGAGGCATATCTAGTTGATCCAAAAAGTTTTATATGACAATCCACGGTCAATTTCTAATTCAAATTCAAATACATTTACTATAGAAATTACAACAGCTTGGCCTCACCAAGTTTAAAAAACTTTTCGCCGAGGTCCAATTGATGCATAAAGCTAACAAACAAAATGTTTAAATTTTTTCCCTTTTTTCTAGAACAAAGATTCCTAAATACAGTAGACTCCTTATCCGGACTCCTCGAGACCGAGGCCATTCCGGATAACCGGTTTTCCGGTAAACCGACGTCCCCAAAAACTTGTTAAAACGAACCGTTTAAATGCATACTGAATACAGAATTTGACTTGAATTTAGGAGAGCATTGTATTTAGACACGTTATCACTGGTCTCAAATCTTTCCCACGAGAACAGTCGTTTCAGCACCGCCCACTTCCTGCCGATCTAGTCCAGTTAAACCGATGAGCTGATTAAAATTGTCCGGTTAAAGGGATGTCATTTCTGCCAGGTGTAGTCCGGTTAAACCGATGTCGGGTAAAAGGTGTCCGGATAAGAGGGAATCTACTGTAATACTATTTCTACGGCTGTTTGTGGCAAGCACTTTAATTTTAAACAAAGTAATTAGCAGCACACAAAAAAAAATCTAAATGTAATGACATAAGTAATTGCTTTATAATCTATGGGATACTATTTTGATTGCTTATATATTTGATTTGGACCTCTTTGCTTTTCATGGTTTGTAGACCATGTTTGAATTGAACTGTTTGTTTGCACAGCAGAGGCAGTGCCGAGCTGAGTTGATTGAGAGAAAAAAATAAAACCTGAAGTCGTTTGAACATAACCTCTCACCGTGAAACGCCCATGCATGCATGCATTCTCACAAAGTAGAGAAAAATAATTATAATAATAATGCGTCAAAACTTGTTTTTCTTGTAATTTTTATCAAAATATAGTTGGCACTGTACTATCGTCAAAATTGTAAAAAGCAAAAAAATTAGGAAAATGCAATAATACAGTGTTAGATTGGAAGAATCAGGTCTAATGGGTGTAGGCCTACTGAGTTAGTACACAACAACATTTTAATACATAGTTTTTTGTTTTGTATTTTTTTTATTATTTAAATACAGTAACCTTTTTTCTGGGCAAGTGATTTAAATGAGGGGGAATCTATTATACAGGGTGACTGCCGGGAACCGGACGTTTTTTAAATGAATAGTACACCCTTATTTTATATAGTAAAATTATTTAATTGTTGAATATATATTGGTGAAAACATACCATTTCAAAAAACATATGTTTTATGGAACCTTTTATCCTAGTTTGGGTTTATTTCTTAAAGATGATATCATGGTGATGGCCGTTAACCTGGATACAGGTTTCCAACCTCTGGAGAAAATCATTACGCACTCTCATCAACATGTCTTGTCCAATCAAATTCACCTCTTCGGTGATTGCATCTTTTAGCTGCAATAATGTTCGTGGTTTGTGAACATGACACGAGCTTATTTCAAATACCCCCATAAGAAATAGTCACAGGGCGACAAATCTGGTGACCTCGGCGGCCACGGCACGTCACCAAAACGTGAAATCAACTTGCCAGGGAACATGTTCTTCACAACTCGCATCGATGCAGCGGCAGTATGCGCTGTGGCCCATCTTGTTGGAAGTAAACATTTTTCACGTTTATTCCTCGCCTCCGAAGTTGTGGCTTGAGATATGTTTCCAACATGTGAACATAGCGTGCATAATTCACTGTCACTGTGACTCCATTTTCCTAAAAAAAATACGGACCAATTATCCCAAAGTGGCCTACAGCACACCAAACCGTTACTTTTGGAGAGTGGAGTGGTTTTTCATGAAAGTTACATGGATTTTCAGGAGCCCAATATCGTAAGTTTTGTTTGTTCACTGAACCGTTTAAGTGGAAGTGAGCTTCGTCGCTCATTAACATGATTACATCAGGATTATCAGTAAACAACACCTGCATACGTACTGTGAAATCTTCTCTTTGTCCATAGTCCCTCTTTTTCAGTTGCTGTACCACCTGTATTTTGTAGGGATGAAATTTTAAATCTGATTTTAAAATTATTCTGACAGAATCGCGCTTCATGCGGCATGAAGCACATGCGTAGCTCTTGTGCGTGTCTTCGTGTAGAGCGACCCGGGCTCCTCATCAAAGCAATTCTCACTGTGGCGATGTTGTCTGGTGTTCTCACTGTTCTTGCTGGACCGGGTGGCTTTTTCTTTGATACTGTTCCTGTTGTTCTGAACTTTTGCGCCCATCTTAGCAATGTATTTCGGCTTGGAACCGTGTCATTCCGCGCAATATTAAAGTGGCGTCGGAAGACACGCTGTGTTTTGATAACGGATTCGCCATTTTGAATAAATGTGTCATGTGCAAAAACAAGATGCTGAACTGACCACTGATCCATCGTGACTAAAATGGTAAAGCTCACTCAAAACAATGACATAACCTCAATCTCCCTAGCACGTTTAGCAACAATGTAACAGCTGTTTCAAATTCGTCCGGTTCCCGGCAGTCACCCTGTATTATGCCAAAATACATGTTAGTGCTAATGTTAAGTATTATTGGTAAAATATACTATTTTGGTTACCAGATAGTTCAATTGGAAAAACATTGTTGTCACTCCAATCAACCTTTTTTATAGGAAAATTTCGAAACTTTGGTAGGTGATGTCTGGTGGAAAAATAAGCCACACTCGAAAGTACAACAAAATCAAATCCCCCTTAAATAATAAAATGATAGTTAATTATTCATCAATATTTTGTTACAGATTATAAACTTGTTTGTTGCTGTCATCATGGATAACTTTGACTATCTGACTCGTGATTGGTCTATCCTGGGACCTCATCACTTGGACGAGTTTATTCGCCTGTGGAGTGAATATGACCCAGATGCCAAAGGAAGAATCAAACATTTGGATGTTGTTACACTGCTGAGAAAAATTTCGCCTCCGCTTGGTTTTGGTAAACTCTGTCCACATCGTGTCGCCTGCAAGGTTAGGACAATTATTTTGCTATGAAAACTTCAGAGGTTAGGCCTACGCTTAATGTTCAAAAGTGTGCATTATTTGTTCAAGGAATTAGTACCTTTGTTGGAATATACTGCATGGTAGAGATTTTTAACAATTTTAGTTTAATGGAAAAACATAAATTAGGATCAGAAAAAGGATCATGATTTTTGCATTTTACATATTACTTTCTTTAATTTAATTTAATTTTGAATCATAAGTCTTGTATTCATTTTTATAGCCCCAGGATTGCGTAATATGACTAATAATGGTTAAAAACGTACCTTGTCAGACAATCCTTGACATGTTTTATAGTGTCGAAAATAAACTTGCTACATGTTTCGATTGTGAAATTTAATAACCACCGAAACATGTAGCAAGTTTATTTTCAACACTATAAAACATGTCAAGGATTGTCTGACAAGGTACGTTTTTAACCATTATTAGTCATAAGTCTTGTCCTAATTGTTTAGTTCAATTAAGATCATAAATTGAAAATTTATTGAAAATTTATTTTATATGTCAGATAAAATAGTACCTGTCTTGGCAAACTTACAAGTATAAGTGAACATGTTTTCAAATGTCTATTTACAGTCTACTTTTAGGATAAAAGGTATAATATTATACCCCCTCCGCAGTAAACCTGCAGACTAAGCGAATTTCCATTTGCCTGATTAGATTTTTAATTAAATCTATTTCAATATCATTAGGTTAAACGAGTACCTAGGTTTGCTGCTACAGGGAGGGTAATAAAGTATGTTTTTTTAGTAAAACATTAATAGCTTAGTATAAAATAAATAAACTTGTCATGTTCGATCAAAATATATTCATAAAGAAGCAAACTACAACAGTTTATTTATTCTCCTTAAGAATAACATGGGAATTTTAAATTAACGATTTTTTTTATTTTAATTTTTTGTAACCAATAACCATACAAAAACACTTCAATATACTAAATTATTTGTTTTTTAAGTTCTTCAAAATGGTTTAGAGAGAAATTGGGAAATTTTATGTTTGAGGGTGAAAAATGAGAAAACCCTATTTTTACCCCATAAATCTCCCATAAAACCCCATTCCCATGTTCTGATCATGCTGGTTTGCGAACTCGTTTGAATAAATGTAGGTTTACACGTTTTTACCAAATTTCATCAAAATCGGATCATTTTTGCTTGAGTTATCGTGCTAACGGACACTTATATTAAATCAAATCAAATCAAATCAATTTATTCATCACAAAAATTCATAATACAGAGGCTGAATATCAGCAATGAATATGTGACATGTCAGTACAAATCATGCATTAAGGTATAAATAGTTTACACATAATAAATATATACAAATATTAAGATTACAGTTGACAGGATAAAAATGAATTCATGTCATAAGGACAAAGTGCAATCAGTTTTTCTGAAAGTTTCTTTTTAAAATTATTAAGGCTCAAAGACTGGTCTGTGAAATAAAAGGACAATTTGTTGTAGACTTGTATGCATTGATAATAGGGTCCATTGTGAAACAAAGCTAATCTGTGGCTTGGAATTTCCAAAAGTTGTTTGTGTCTAGTTTCATAACTATGAGTTTTTTTACAGTTTTCAAATAAATAAAGGTTGTTTTTAATGAAAAGTGCCAAGTGTAAAATATAAAGAGCAGGAAGGGTCAAAAGTTTGAATTTTTTAAAACTGGATCTACATGATTTTCTTGAGCTGATGCCAGCAATGACTCTGATGGCCTTTTTTTGTTGTTTAAAGATATATTTGCTAGAAGGTGAATTTGCCCAGCACAACAAACTGTAAGACATAATTGATAAAAAATAACCATGGTATACTAACATCACTGTCTTGTCATCGCAAATTCTTCTAATAATTCGGAGATTAAATATAGCTTTATCTAGTTTAGGATATAAATGGTCACAGTGGTTATTCCATTTTAAATTATCTTGAACTGTCAGTCCCAGAAAATCTACTGATTTACAGACAGGAAGGTCAATGTTGGTGTTGGGAACTGCAAAAATTAATTCTTTGGACCTGTTTGAGGAGGCGGAAAATTCTAATATTTTAGTCTTGGCATGATTTAAACTTAGACCATTCTTGCTCAACCAGAAACTGATGTTTTGAACAGAGGAAGAGATATTAAGTGCCAATTCATTTTTGTCTTTACCTTTGACTATTGCTGTTGTGTCATCTGCAAATAAAATTAAATCTGAATTTACATTTGAAAACAAATCGTTGACATAAACTAAGAACAAGAATGGCCCTACCTTTGAACCTTGAGGAACTCCCAAGTGTACTTTATTCCAATCAGAAAAAACTGAGTTTCCATTCAAGGTATTAATCTTTACTTTTTGAAACCTATTTTGGAGGTAGTTGCCGAACCACAGGACAACCTCCCTACTCATACCATAACATTCCAGCTTTTTCAACAAAATATCATGTCTAACATTGTCAAAAGCCTTGGACAGGTCACAGAACACACCAGCAGTGCTCTGCGACCTATCCAAGGTGTCCAAAACATGTGTTATTAATTTAAACATGGCTTGAGTTGTTGAACTATTTCTTCTAAATCCAAACTGATTTGAATGTAAAACATGTTTCTCAAAAAATGGAACAACTTGTTTCAGTACCACTTCTTCAAAAACTTTAGATAGCACAGGTAACAAGGCCACTGGTCTATAATTATCAATTGACTTTTTATCTCCTTTTTTAAGAATAGGAATCACTGTAGAGTGTTTAAGTTTTTCCGGGAAGTCTCCATTTCCTAGACTTTTGTTTATAACAAAAGTAAGAGGCTTAACAATAAAATATGCAGCAGCTTTAATTACAGGGGCCGGTATTTCATCCCACCCTGCAGAATATTTACTTTTCAGAGACTTAATGGCATCTAGGACATCTTTTTCATTTACTAATTTAAATTTAAAACAATCAGAAGTTTTGCATCTAACTAAATTAATGGCTTCAGCGGCGGGAGATTTTGTGATATTGTCACCAATTTTAGAGAAAAAATCATTAAAGTGTTTAGCAATTGCAGAAGGAGTTTTGACAATCGAAGATTTAATCACAAGCTCAGATATTTGACTGTCTTTATTTTTTTGGCCCAATTCTTTTTTCACTACATTCCAAGAACTTTTGGTCACATTTCCTGATTTAGATATAACTGAATGTAAATAGTTTCTCTTTGAAATCTTAATTCTTTTACGTAGGTCTTTACAATGATCCTTGTAATCTCTCCAAAGTTTTGTGTTAGTAGATAACTTACAATTCTCAAACAGATCTCTTTTCTTTTGACATAATAACTTTAAATCATCTGTTATCCAACCTTGATCATTATTGCTTTTATTTTCACACAATATCTTTTTTGTTACAACTGGAAATGCCTCCAAAAATGCCAGATAGAAATAATTAAAAAAACAATTAAAACTCTCATTTGCTGTGTTAAACGAGTAACAACTGTCCCAATTTGTTTGGTCAAGTGCTTTACAAAAGTTTTCAATGTTAATCTGACTAAAAACTCTTCTTCTAATTGTTGAGTTTGATTTTTTTGTTGTTGTAAAGAGAGTAGAAATGTATTGAGCTGTGTGATCTGAAAAACCTAAATTAATTACTTGTGAATGCAATTCAGATAAGTCAATGTTTGTAATAATGTTGTCAATACAGGTTGCACTACTATCAGTAATTCTCGTTGGAGAATCAATGCAAACAGATAAGCCATATGATTTGAGAATACCTAGGAAAACCTTCTTATTGTTACTCTCTTGACCTTCTTTAGCTAAAGTATTTATGTTGAAGTCACCAGAAATACAAACAATTTTTCTAGTCAATTCTTTAGAAATATGAAAGAGAAGTTTTTCAAGATTACTAAAAAAAGAGCTTAAATTACTACTTCTATAAATGTTGATAATAATGAGTTGTTTCTTTGTTTGAAAATATAAGCTTCTAGTTTCTATTGCAACACATTCAAAACTTTCCTCAATTGAAAATTTCTCAATATCTAAACGTACACTAAAATCTAAAGACTTATGAGCTAAAATACATGAACCACCTCTTATTTTATCTTTTCGATTGAAAACACTAGCTAATTTATAGTTATTGAGTGAATTAAGCAATCCACAGCTGCCATCTTTGAGCCAGTGCTCACAAATACAGATGAATTTTGGCTTTAAATTAAAAGTTTCAAACAAAAGTTCCATCTCTTTTATTTTTAGGCTGTCTATACAGCCCTGTATGTTCAAATGAAAAATAAGAGGTTCATTTACTTTGTTTATGCCTGGTCTAAAAAATCATTGTTAGAGTGTGGTTTTGATGCCTCTACAGCTGACAACTGTGGACTAGTCAATTCCCTCAACAATTCAGAACTATTTACAATTTCAGTCATATTTTCTATTTAAGATAGCTCAACCAAACATAACCACCACGCCCTGTGTGAATTCGCCCTGTATAAGTGGCTTCATTATAATACCAAAGTACCGATAGTATTTTTTCCCCATCAGAATTACAATGCTGTTTAAGGAGGGTTATTGGAAGTAATTTTTTTGATGTTAATTTGTTGTTAGTTGTCAGATTTTTATTCTCTTTATGTCAATTGTTTGGTCTCATCAAGACAATGTAAAATTATATGAAAGTCGACTATGCTTCGCATTTGAAAGTTTTGAGCTACATCTCACCCCTACTAAGGGTGAAATTTAAAAAATGAACCATCTTTATTGTAACCCTTCGTATTTAAGAAGGTTGCCGCAAACCGATTTAAATCATCCCAAATACAGGAACGGTAGTTAAATAGTTAAGGGGGTGAAAGTTACTTTTCAGCCACCCCGTTGTGGTTATCAAACCAATTTTGTTTTATGTTTTAGCGTCTTGTTTCAATGAACATGCCACTGAACAGTGATGGAACGGTTTTATTCAACGCAACTCTTTTTGCTGTTGTTCGAACCTCACTTCACATAAAGACAGAAGGAAATATAGATGATGCCAATTCTGAACTCAGAGCTGTTATCAAGAAAATTTGGAAAAGAACGAGTCCTAAACTTTTGGACCAAGTCGTTCCTCCCCCAGGAGGTTTGTATAGTGTTTTTGGTAGTGACCTTATTGTGTTTTTATGAATATCTTTTACAAAAAAAAATTAGGGCTGTCCAGAAAATAATACAATACAGGTTTTAAAATATGAACTAAGCAAAAACTACTTTAACATATTTGGAAGAGGAACCTCTAAGGCTATTTTTTCATGTAGTCGACATTTAAATCAGGCTCTTTATAATTCTAAAAGGCAAGCATTTTAATACCTTCTTCCAATATTTTGGTTCCTGAAGACAACTCTCAGTACTACCGACGGATTCTTTTCTTAGGAAAAGTATCGTTAAAAAGAACTGATGTAAAAACGTCAGTAACAACAGCACAGTTTGACGTTGGAGGCCGTGAGTTGAAAGTGTGGCAACCGTAAATCTGTCTCCAATTGGTCATTTACTCACTTTATTTTTTTTTATTCCTTTTTAACTACTAAGTACATCAATAAAATTGACAGGTGAATAGGCATGAAATATTTAAATCTAGTTGTCTTAAATTAAACAATAACAATACATTAACTAAATGAAAAATTATTTTAGATGAAAATAATGATACCAATAATTAAATTGTAATATTGATAATAATAAATAATTTCTTATGTGTTGTTAAATTTTGTTAAGTAAGTTAAATTTTTTTTTTAAACTAATAACACTAAAAACATATTATATTCACATTTATACTATTAACTCACAAAACGGGAAGTATATACAGGGTGTCCCAGACCACTTGGCCGGCTTCTATAACTCCAAAATAAAAGCAAATAGAAACCTAAATGCAACTGGAACCTCCTATTTTGACCCCAAGGAATTCAGCTAAATTATTTTTAAAACCCAAAAAACACCCCAAAGGGCAGATTTTGGGGGTGGGGGTGGTTTTTGGGAAATTTTCAAATGTAAAGGGGGGTTGTGTTATAACTCAGTTTAAAGGTCTTTGAGTCCTCATTACTTATTTAGTGGAAAAAGTTTTAAATTATTTTCATCCCTATTTACAGTGTTCATAAACGTACAACAAAATAGACCTTTGAACTACTTTTCACTGTAAAGAGGTGGAATTTCATAGCGGGTTCAAATTTTGATAACACTTTAATTGCTGAATGAGCTTTCAAAAAACTCTGGTTTCAACCTTTTTCCTAACTTTTTACTTATGTTACACATTTTAAAACTTTTTGATGTTTCAAAAGCTGTTATCTCAAAGATTTCAAATGGTAACATGGGTTGAATTACAAACCACATTATAGCCCTTAAAATAAGCTACAATTTTTGTATTTAATGTTTTTTGGTATCTTTATTGGTTAAAGAGCTGTAGCGATATTAGTGTATTTTAATGTTTTATTAAATTAATGGTTTTTAAAGTGTTTGCTGTTGGAAATGTACACGCCTAGGTCCCGATTAAAACTAATTATGTCTAAAAAATCAAATAGTACCCAGACAGTGTTTTACTGTAAATTTAAAATATCCTATACAGCTTTTTGAGGGTTCAAACACACAGAAGGCGTGGCGGAGTTTAGCATGGTGTGGCATTTAAGAGCGTGGCGTGGTGGGGCGTTGTCAAAGCATTCATGGTGCACACAAGCGATGGAGCGTCAAGTGTCAAGGGGCTTCAAAATGGTGTCGTCAAAGTTTCCACGGTCATTGCTCTGTGAAAATATGTATCTAAAGTGTTGGTCATTACTTGGACCTGGTAGATCAGAGTGGGTTAATGAGATAAACGGACACCAACGATTTGGTGAATATAACCATTTGTTTAAAGTTTTAAGAAGGCATGAATCCCAATTTTTTTGATTACATGCGATTGTCAACTTCCAGCTTTGATTATATTTTATCATGAGTGAAGCCTGATTTGGAAAAACGGTGGTGGTGCAGCTTGTGACGGTACTGCCATATGGGTGTACGTTCATAAACCTCTGCTATTAAGCCGGATTGCAACAGTTCAACACTGGACGGTGACTGGCACTCGACTGTGACGCTACACTACTAGACGCTCTGAAAAACAACCAGTTTGTTTCAAGGTGGAACTCCACGCCCTGCTCCCCCACGCTAGACAAGTAGATGCTTTCAGTGTGTCACGTTTACTTGACATGAGATTGTTCACCACACTCCGCCATGCCACGCCTTCTGTGTGTTTGTGTTTGTACCCCAAGAGATTTTTTGATTTCATATTACCAATAAGTACAAAGTAAATTAGTTGTGATACACCTCCAGAAAATTTAAACTTTTCATATTTGTTCAGTGGATGACGAGGTCACTGTGGGAAAGTTTTATGCCACATTCCTTATTCAAGATTACTTCAGAAGGTTTAAGAAAAGAAAAGAACAAGAGCTCAAAGATGGAGACAAGGAGTCACACAATACTGTTACTCTTCAGGTTTGTCTCAACTTCAGTTATTTATGTTATTGTATGGTATGATCTGTTATTAATTTTGTTTTGGAAGTTAATTTTTGGTAGAGTTATGCTGGTCCCCGATAATTTCAGGTGGGTCAACCAACTGTTGGCCCGAGAGGTTTGTTTGGGACAGAAATAGATTTTGTGCCAAAGTTAGGTGAGGTCTAGCTGAGCCAAGCATTAAATTTTTCGATCGCAGAAAGCGTCTGCCAAATTTTACGATTTTCATGCGATTGAGGGTGATGATCACATCTTTTCTTATCTAACAGGGGCTGTCCGAGACCATAAAGCACTTCATCCAAAAAGTTGAATTATTGCACACCCCCGACAGTTATTTTATTGGTAGACCCTACAAATTAGGGCATCCGATGAAAGCCTGTAGTCTGTCTTCTCCTGACCTACCGCAGTGCCTACAGATCGGTTTATCATCAAACAAGTTCATCCCTTGTAAATGGCCCATGACACAATAGAGGTGCATGCTCTTTTTCATGATATACCACAGAAGGGTTGTGAATCAATCATTGTTGCCGCTGAGGCAGCATTTGCCAATCTGTCCGCGGCTTCATTTTCTTCAATGCCTGAGTATCCCCCAGCAAAGCGTAAGATCATTCCTCTTATGCAATTACAGTTCAGACACAGTAGCAAGACAATCCCACACGAGCCTTGAGTTGAATTCGTAAGAGTTTAGTGCACATCAAATTAAAGAACTTTGTTAGTAAAATACAATGCCGCAAACCCAAACTCAAACTGACAACTGAGTCCAAAATGTCAGCTGTTCAAAGATGTATTGAATTTGCATTTACTGCATTATACAACCTCCTCAGGCGGCCCTCTAGAAGTTGGAATAAAATCATAAACGTATGCAAAGGCCGAAATGGACATCAAATTAAAAGGCTTTATTAGTAGAATACAATGCTGCAAATTTGAGCATCATAAGAACATTTGAGTATAAAATGGTAGCCATTCAAAAATTGAAAATGGCAGATTTAAGAAATCTTTGAACAGCTTCTATTTCTGACTTGGCTGTTTGTTTAGGTTCAATTTTGTAGCATTGGCCTTTAATTTGATGTGCATATTAACCTATGTTTACAGTTAATATTTTCTTCTGACTCCTAGCAGGCTGTACCCCTGAGGCATAAGTATATTTTTATATAGTGTATCACTGAATAATGTGTTAAAATTATTTTAATGCCCTAGTTTGTGTTTTGTCTACCAAGTTTTGAAGCCCTATCTTTATTCCTTTTTGAAATATTTAACTGCCCCGGGAAATTTCTTCCATCCTGTATACGTAATACAATATGGGTTTTCCCTATAACATCCCTTTTCCAGTCGTCCTAGTTAACCAATTTTTATGATTTAGATGTCATTTGAAACCTTATGACCCAGTGGTGTGGTGAACAGTAACAAAAAAGGTGATATCCTTGAGGGTTTTGCCCCCTTGCGTTTAATTTATTTCTAGAGTTCATTTCCAGAGTTCATTTTTTAACCGACTTCCCCACTACCAACAAAAGGAGGAGGTTCTCAATTTGTTTGTGGCGATGTTTTTTTTTTCTATGTATGTTCACCAATTTCTCTGTGATTCTTTTACCGATCAGTGTGGTTCCACCACCAAAATAACCAGGAGAGTTTCTATTTGGTACCTTATATATTATGTTTAAGTATAATATTTGTTTCGGTGAAAAATTCTGAAAACTTTAAATATTCAACATTTATTTTGTTTACATTTTTGCAGATTGTTTACATTTGTGCAGAGAAGGCAATAAATAATAATAACATTCCTACAGCTGTTAGTTGAAACAATTTAAATGAAGCTACAGACAATTCCTCATGAAACAGTTGCTTCATATTGATCAATAAACTATTTCTTGCCATGGAGCCTAAATGAATTACATTGAGAAAAAATGCATTTTGTTTTGGTTACTATAAAAGATGTATTTTAACGTTTGACCTGATTTGTGTATACAGTAGGCCTAATTCTGTTTTTAGTATTGAATATTCTGACTTACAAAAACATATATGTTTCAGTGAATAGCTGTATGATATTGACAAATAAAGGTGTATTGTGAAAACCAAAGCATTCGTAAAACAGGTCTAAATATAAATCAAATGCAATTATTCCTTACACGACCTAAGAAGTGTGACAGTGCATAATCGTCAATTGTCTTAAAAGTGTTAAATATTTTAATTACTAAACATGTATTTGTAGATGTGGAATGTTTATTGATATTCTCTACCCAGTTACTATATCATAGAAATACTATTATGCCTGCTTCGGAAAGTCCTAGAGGAAGATGATTTGCAATTTCGACTAGGCTATATCTTGAGCAAACAAAACCCCCTACATGACTTTTAACCACTTTTAGCTGAACCAATCTTTCATATAATATTTTCCAAAGGTACTATACGAAAGGTACTATGGTGTTAACGACCAATTTTTCACTTTTGAGAGATTTTTTAGTGATGGTAGCTGAAGAATAACTTTCATATTGTTCCAAAAGGCTTGAGACGTTACTGTATTTCTTTTTATAATGTAGAAGTACACTGATTGCAGGAAACGATGATGTCTGACATTTCAATGTATCTAGAAAAGTCAATTAGTTTTTCATTAGGCCTAATGTAATGGACAACTCTTTCTTTCTTAAGGAATATCTAAAGATGTTTATTTTCATATCCATTGATTATGTAACCTGAACAGGTGACTCAAGCAGTTTTAAAATAATGATTGTTCTGTGGAACTTTTGATTGTTTCAAACAGTTTTGCTTATCAAAAATCCTCAAGTAATTAATAGCCTATATAAAAAATTATACAGTCACTAAAAATCATTAAATAATTTATTTTTGTAAAAAAAAATACAACCGACTTCAAACGCTCTAAAAAGAATGAAATAATTTCAATAAAGTAAACTAAATAAAGTAATAAAGTAAAGGGTAAAAAAGTCCCTGGACAGTTCAATATTTTAAAAAATAATGTAGATAGAGCTACAATACTTAGTACAAAGTTACAGAGCATAAAACTCTATTTTAACACATATTCAGTGATCCAATAACTCTTCAGGGGGACGGCCCTCAAGGAGTCGGAAGAAAATCTTAAATAGAAGCATAGGTCAATATGCACATCAAATTAAAGGTCTTTTTTAGTAGAATACAATGCCGCAAACCGCACTTCAAAAGGTCGATCCTGCGCAAAATGGCAGATGTTCAAAGATTTCTTGAATCCGCCATTTTGAATCTTTGAACGACTGCCATTTTTTACTCAGGCATTCTTTTGAGCTTGAATTTACGGCATCGTAATCTACAAGTGAAGACCTTTAATTTGATGTGCATATCGACCTATTCTTACGTTAACAATTTTCTTCCGATTCCTAGGGCTGTGCCCCCTGAGGAGAAAGCGTATAATAGCAATGTTAATTAAATGAATCTTTGAACAACTGTCATTTTGCGCAGGATCAACCTTATGAAGTGCGGTTTGCGGCATTGTATTCTACTAAAAAAGACCTTTAATTTGATGTGCATATTGACCTATGCTTCTATTTAAGATTTTCTTCCGACTCCTTGAGGGCCGTCCCCCTGAAGAGTTATTGGATCACTGAATATGTGTTAAAATAGAGTTTTATGCCCTGTAACTTTGTACTAAGTATTGTAGCTCTATCTACATTATTTTTTAAAATATTGAACTGTCCAGGGACTTTTTTACCACCCTGTATAACCGATTACAAGTAAATTGTAATTTAACAGCTGTTCAGTTTTACGTTTAACCATGGTCAGATTGTAAACAAGAGACAAAACAGTTTATAAAAATGTATTTAAAATAGTCTACTTCTCAGTCTTATCTCACAACAGTGACGGGAATAATTAAATTAATTCAAGGGAATACTTCTATGAAATGTCTAAGCCGTTTACCTTTGGTGGGTTGTGTGAGCTGGTTGACAACTATTCACATTTGTTTTCGAGGTTTATCGAAATGGTGAATTATATGTCAAGTTTGGTGATGAACGTAATCCCTTGAAAAGACTCAGATTTACACAAACCCTTTCTAGCGGGCACAAAAATGTAATTGAGGCCATAGTGATCACCGGATGTACCCGAGGGGAATAAGTTTTCATACCACGACTCTCCCCGGTTCCTACGGACTACCCGTTTAAAGGTTGCAATTCCCTTTGAAAGTGTGATTCACCCTCACCATCAACAAAGCGCAGGGACGGTCACTTTAGATCACAGGCCTAGACTTGAGAGAGGATTGTTTTCTCATGGACGATTTTATGTTGCATATTCAAGCAAGTTTAGCTCAGCCACGAGTGTGGTGATGCTAGCACCTTCTGAGAAAACAAAAAATGTTGTATACAAAGAAATTCTGTAAATAATAAAAAAAATAGTACAAATAACGAACCAATAATAATAATAATAATAATAATAATAGTAAGAATAATGAACTGGAAAACTGCAGATTCAATCATTATCGTAAAATGATATATAAAAATACACTAATTTATTAGAAATGTCAACCAAATTGAAAGTTTCCGTTTTGGATCAACCGATCTGCAATATGAACGTTGGATCAAACGATCCGCTATTTTTAACTGTTGGATCAAACGATTTTGAATCTTATGAAATACTCCCATTTGCTTGCAATTTGTGTATAGGTAAAATTTTTTTCCAACTTAACTGTTTTACATATTTTTTACATTTTTAAATTCTTAACGTATAACAAATATTTTAACCAATAAAAAAAGTAAAACTTTTGTATAGATTGAAGTTTATTTATGTTGGTGGTTTTTCATGTTTGTTTTCATATTTCTAGGCTGGTTTGCGCACGCTACATGATGCAGGTCCAGAACTGAAAAGAGCAATATCAGGCAATCTAGAGGAACTTATTGATGACAATCCAGAACCAATGCATAGGGTGATTTTCTTTATGTATTCATAGTTTATTCTTTAAATAATATTAATAAGGGGTGAAAGTTTGTGTATTTGACCCCCAAACCATAAAGGTTTGCAATTTATTTCCAACTTGTAGAACTTAAGAAAACAACTAATTTAGTATATTGATGTGTTGATGTACATTTAATCATTATGGCAAGAATACAAAATAAAAATTTAGCTAATTAAAAACGTTTTGTGATATTTTATGGGAAATAATTAAATGATTGTAGTTTGCTCGTTTATAGAAATATTCAAATTTGTATAAAACTTGGCAAATTTATTTATTTTATTTATACTAAGCCATTAACATTTCATTCATTAACATTTTAAAAACACATTTTTTTGTTACCAAACACATCATTAGCAGCAAACCTAAGTACTTATTAAAATTAATGTTATTTAAGTAGGGATAAATTTTAAATTGCCGCAGGTACCAATTACATAAATTTTAAAAACTTTTGCGTAATGTGTAATTCAAATCATGGTTCTTTTTTAAATAATAATAGCAGAAAACCCAAAAAGAAATCTTTTGTATGGCCTATCTGTGAGGAGGCTAGGTTAAGTAAAAAATATGCATGGTTAATGCACTTGAATATACAAGGATGAATTACAGATAAAAAAAATGAATTGGACCTACTTTTGCTTGAGTCTAATATATCTGTGCTTAGCTTAAATGAACATTGGCTTAAAAAAGATCAAATTAATATTTTAAACGGTATAGAAAATTACACAGTTGCTGCTCATTTTTGAAGAGAAAATACAGCTCATGGAGGCTCATGTTTATTAATAAAAAAATAATTTGAATTTCTTTGAAAGAAAGGATCTTTGTATATTCAGTGATGAGTTAGTTTTTGAAATGTGCTTTATTGAGATAGTTTGTTTCAATGCAATTATTATTTCCATTTATAGAATTCCATGTATTTCAAATTTTAGAATTTTTTTAAATAAATTAGAAAATGTGTTTATTTTACTGTAGAAAGAGCTAGGTTCTAAGGATGTTTATATTGTAGGTGACTTTAATGTTGACATTTTAGATACATGTACTTTTCCACAACAGAGATTGGATTTTTTGAATTTGTTAGATATTTTTGGTCTAGGTATAAATATAGAATCACCAACAAGAATTACGCCGAACAAAATTTCATGCATAGATAATATCATAACATTCAAAATTAAGCCAATTGATACAAAAATCTGTATGAATGTTGAAACTGGTCTTTCTGACCACAGGTCTCTTTTTATTTCTTTACAGGGAAATGATGAGAATAAACAAAAATTACACACTTCTTTTAAGCAAAGAATTTTTTCTGAAAGAAATATTAATAACTTTATAAACTCTATCAGCAAAATGAAGTGGAATACTACAAAAAATAACGATCTTTTTCTAAACAGTAATAATTTTTTTGGTTCTTTTCAAAGAATTTTTGAGGAATCTTTCCCTTTCAAACCTGTTAAAATTAAAAAGAAAATAGTAAATAAAAAATGGGTAACACACGCTATTCAAATTTCTAGTCAACAGAAAAGAATGTTAAGCAACTTAGCAAAGAGTTCTACTGATGTTAACTTTATTGGCTATGTAAAAATGTACAAAAAAGTTTTTAAATCTGTTTGTAACCTAGCAAAGAAAATGTATAATTGTAGTTATATAAATAAGGCTAGTAATAAGACTAAAGCAGCATGGGTTGTGGTTAAAGCCGAACTTGGTTACAAGCCAATCAATAATTCTTTTCCTGATTTAGTAATTGATAGCAAGTTAGTCTCAGATGGCACAGTTATTGCAAGTCACTTTAATTCTAAATTTATTGAGGTAGGGAAGGATTTAGGGGTAAATTTTTCCAAGAGTAAGGCAATGGAACTAGTAAAAAAATCAATCACACATAGGCCTGATATTCCAATTTTTAACTTTAGTTTAGTTACACCTCAGCAAGTTATCAAAATAGGCAAGTCACTAAGCGATAAAAAAACGGCTGGTTGGGATTTCAACTACTATGATAAAAAAAGTAATTAAGTTTGTTGCTGAGCCATTGTCCATAATCATCAATCAGACTTTCCAATAGCACTTTACCTAATCATTTGAAGTATGCAGAGGTGAAGCTGTTATTTAAAAAAGGTTCTAAGAGTAATTCAGATAACTACCGACCTGTTTCTGTCCTGCCTTCTTTTTCAAAGAGATTTGAAAAAATTGCATTCAATCAAATGTCCTATTTTCTGGAATCTAATAACTTATTAGCTGATGAACAGTTTGGTTTTAGGAAAAATCGAAGTACCACTTCCACTGTGGCTCATTTTGTAAATTCAATAACACAGAGCTTGGATGGGTCACAGAGCACTATTGGCGTGTTCTATGATCTATCCAAAACCTTTGATAGTGTACACCATCAAATTCTTCTTGATAAACTATCCTCCTATAGATTCTCAGAATCAGTTATTTTGTGGTTGAAATCATATTTAAACGATCGCTTTCAAAGAACAGTTATTATTAAAGAAAACATTAAGTATGCTTCTGAATGGGAAAAGATTGTTATGGGGTGCCTCAGGGCTCTATATTAGGACCGTTATTGTTTTTGATGTACACAAATGATCTACCTAAGAATGTTAAACCTAGTTTGTTGTTATATGCTGACGATACGACGGCCATCATTAAATCAAAAGACAGTCATGAACTAAGTTTAGCTTTGAATCAAGCTCTTCAAGATCTGTCAAAATGGTTTAAAGTAAACGGTTTAAAAATGAACCACATTAAAACACAAATAGTAAAATTTCAAACTGCACAGTGTAGGGGCGATCTTGAAGGCTTTGTTTATTTTGATAATGATTTTGTTAATTTTTAAATTTAGCAACACAGCTAAATTTTTTGGAATTGGCACATTCATAACACCTCTAAAAAGTTAAATTCAGTATGTTTTCAAATGTTGGTCTTAAGAAATGTTGTTGATTTAAACACTAGACTAATGATTTATCACGCTTTATTTTCGTCAATTTTACAGTATGGAATAGAGCTTTGGGGCGTCACATCTGATTCGTATCAACTTTTTAAACTTCAAAAAAGAATACTTAGAATTATGACTTTTAAACCAGTAAAACATTAAGTGAATGAATGGTTTAATTACCTTTACTGTCAAAGCGACCTTGTAGTCTTAGTAGGCTACTGCAGTTTCGATAACCTTTTCATGGTATCTTCTTCAGGCTAGGGACATCATCTTCGTTCGTTTTCACGAACACGTAATTTTGAATAAAAACCATTGAACACACGGACACGAACACAAAACATTTAAACGACACATTAAACATAAACTGTACAAATACTGGGACGGCAAGAGTGTGTGGTGGCGCATGCGGACGGCTGGTCTACATCATTTACGAAACGGCAATCAGAATAGGTGATATGAATTCAAAGAAAAAGGATCGCATCTGACGAAGGGGAGGGGAGAGGGAAGAATGTGCGTGGACTGATAACAACCGGTAGTCTAGACCAGCCGTCCGCATGCGCCACCACACACTCTTGCCGTCCCAGTATTTGTACAGTTTATGTTTAATGTGTCGTTTAAATGTTTCGTGTTCGTGTCCGTGTGTTCAATGGTTTTTATTCAAAATGACGTGTTCGTGAAAACGAACGAAGATGATGTCCCTAGCCTGAAGAAGATACCATGAAAAGGTTATCGAAACTGCAGTAGCCTACTAAGACTACAAGGATCGCTTTGACAGTAAAGGTATTTAAACCATTCATTCACTTATTGAAAAAGCGATTCAGAGGCTGTCAACATGAAGCGTAAAACATTCTTGCAAACAACTTTTTAAAGAACTAAAGATTCTAACCGTCCCTAATTTGTACATTCTTAAATGTTTATTGTATGTGAAATCAAATTTTGAAAAACTCCACAGTGAAAATAATCGGCACAATTATAACACTAGATTTCATACAGATTTTCAATATCCTATACACAGATTAAATCTTGTGGAAAGGACACCTTCTTATATGGGTAAAAGATTTTTTAACAATTTGCCTGGGTACTACAAATCTATAATAGGATTAGTATCTTTTAAAAAGAAAATTTTTGAATTTTTGTTGGAAAAGAATTATTATAGTATTGATCAGTTTCTCGAAGACAAATCAATGTGAATTGTTTGTTTTGTTACCTACTATGTATTTATTTTTACCAATATAAGCTAGTTTATTTTAGTATAGTTTGACAATGTCACCTGTTTTGTCTGGCTGTGCCAGAGCATTTAAAAAAAACGTTTTGTGACAATAAAGATGACTTTGACTTTGACTTTGATAGATTTGATTTGTTTAATGAAATATTTTATTAATAATCCAACCAGGTAAATGAAAGTTCGCTTAGTCTGCAGGTTTGCTGCTGCTGCGGTATTTTTTGTTCTATTGATCTGCTTTTTATGGTTACTTATATGTCAATGAAAACTTTTCCGTTCCAATAAAATGTCTTTAAAAGAACTAAATAAAATGTATTTCAATATACTTGTTTTAAATATCATAAAGAACTTTTAAGTGTAAATTTCTAATTGTAATGGTAAGTTTCTGTTTTCTGTTACGTGGGATCAGCGGAATCACTCACTGTTTGGGAGCGTGTGGTCTTCAGTGAGAAGGGGTAGAGGGAGTTTTCATCGTACAAAGTCTCTCAAGGTCAACGCAACCAACATTAAGGTGAGTGGAAATCACACACTTAATATCAGTCTTTTGATTTACAACTAGTTGATATGTTTACACATAGTATTCCAAAAGTCATTAGTACGTTGTATTCTATGGAAAATTGGAAAGTAATAGCAGGATAACTAATTATTTAAAATATACAAAAAAAATAATTATTTAGAAATGTAATATTGAAAGACACATAGAAGTTATAGAACAGTTTCAGCGATAAAGAAATGTTATTTCCTTTCAAACAACTTAAAATGTAATGAAATGTGTAGTCAAAGAAAGTTGGTCAATTGGCTTAACTGGTGTGTTTCATTTTTACCATAATACTCGTGCAAGTTAAATCTTAATTTAGATTATAATAGTTTTGCTTGAAAATGTATGTTGCTATAATCGAAATCCTAAATTTTTCTTAGTTTAATTTTAAAGATAGATTTTATATTATATAACCAAACATGAATAAACGTTTGATTTGTAATTGCAATTTTCTTGTCCTAGTAAATTTAACAAAAACATCTCTCTTTTTTTATATACATGATTCAAAACAAGTTTTATCATAGTTTAGTTTTTTTCAAGCAATATATTAATAAAGTTGGTGTTATCATAATTAATTCTATACTAGTATTGAATATCAAGTGCTACATATATTTCGTCATAGATCTTACTCTATTTTTATCTCAATTCTTAGTTTCTATTAATAAGCTTGATGCTGGTTGTTGAAAAATGTGGTTGACAACAAATTTATGACATTTATTATTGCATTTTATTTAATATAAAATATGTTTAAAATATACTTTCCGGCATAACTCACATAACTTTTGAACACAAATAATTGGGCCTGATTTTAACTGAGTTCATGCTCAATAACCAGTAAACTCCCAATCTTCGTCACAATGTCTACAATAGTATTAAAATGGTAAGTAAACTATATTTCACACAATTTGTTTTCTGACAGATGAATCATCTGGATGTGCCTGGAAGAAACCTTAGAAAGGTAGCTAGCCAAGCAATGTATTATTTCATATTGCTTTCTTATGTGTTGCTTCGTGGAGGCAGTTGCTTCGCTTTCTTTTATTTGCAGACATAATCTCATAGACATTTTATTCTTCATTGTATTGATATGCCTGAACCTGTGTATTCACTAAGACGTGGTATGTCTAGGAATTTTGTTACATTTATAAATAACTAGTCAAACCTAAATCCTGAAAAGTATAAGAGTTATGTTTAAATCAATTTAAAAAATAATTGAAACTTAGCATAAAAGTAGTTTTAATTGCAGATAATTATTTAAGATCTTAAATGTTTGCTTAAGCTCATTAGTTAGCCTAGGCAGAGCATCAATGTTTGTTCAGCAAAGAATTTCAATTTAATTTACTTTTTTTAGAGTTACCTATTTCCTTTTATATTTTCAGTTATTTACCACACAAATGTTTTTTTTTTTCTTTTTTTTGGGGGGGTGTTCATCAACCCCTAGCTACTTCGGCCTATTGTCATATTGTAGCACCCCTCAAATCAGTCAGAGATGTCAAACTTTTATGGGCCAATGCCAGACAATCCATACATAAGTGTTCAGAGGTTTCCACCTCGTTTTTGCAGAACCTGCATTGGTCTGTCTGTGACCTCTTTATGGTTCTAAGGTGTTTCCTAATAGGTCCGTGCCTAGTTAGCATTCCTACTAGTAATCTGATGCCCCCCTTTTTGAGGCTCAATACACCTTTCCAGTCTTTCATTGAGGGGTCTATTAGTGTTTTTAAAGTCCTTAGTCCTGGGTTGGTCCTCCAAGCCTCCGCCTTCTGGACCTTAACCCAGTCTCTGACTTTGGCTACTCCTGAGCTAATTGGCGTACCGCTGTAGGGTTCTGGTCCTGTCAGATGTTCTTCTGCTCTCCTCCTGGCCAAAGCATCGGCTTTCTCATTCCCCTCAAGCCCCGAGTGTCCTGGGACCCAACCTATTTTGACTTTATTCCGCATTTTGAGAGTGTTTTAACACCCCTTTACTGTTTGTGACTCTGTCACACAAGACACCATCGCTTTTATTACAGCTTGGCTGTCTGAGAGGATCAGTATTTTCCCCTTTCTCAGGTTCTAAATGTAATCTTAATACGAATTTAAATTAAGTATTTTTTCTTTGATTTTTTAGTTTAAGTATTTAGCTTTGTTAAGAAAAGGATTGTAAAACATCACAGAGAGCACCAGTACGTGGTATTAGTTGCTTTGCTTGTGGATGAAAAATGTATGCTTTGAAATTGAGATTATTATCAAGATTATTAGCACTATCAAATAGTAAATTGTATGGTATAAATTGTAAACTCAGTGGTCCATATTTCTTTACTAATTTTTCTGGGGAGAGTGGGTGTTTAGAAAAATAATAAATTATTGTAAAATTCAAATCTATGTATGTAAATCCAAAAAATTAAGGATGAATTATGGATATGAACAAACAAATATTTAATTAGGTAGTTCAAAGATAATAAACGCTAATGGCTTACCAACAATGACATGTAAATTCTAAGAAACATATGGACAAGGTGAAAGGAAAATTAACAGTTTTCTCTTTATACAGAGTTAATCTTTAGATCATAACACGAATCCTGAAAATCAATATAAGATAAAATGTCACACTTGACCAGGAATGGACCAAATTCTTTAGGCTTATTATGAGTTTGATTGATTTATTTATGTATTTCTGGAACTAAGCATATTCTACATTTAAATTCAATGCATATAGTCCAGGAGCTGAGGGGGTTTGAGCATGCATGAAAGTAGTACGCAATGTTATTGCTGATTATTGTAATATGGACTGTGGTGATCAAAATTACGTATGTCGCCTATTTCAAAAGTGGTCGATAAGGTGGGGGGGAGGGGGCAAACATGGCGGTTTGCACTATGCGTTAAAACGCTGATATTTCGAAAACGGTAAAAGATAGAACATCGGTTAAAATGTCGTTGTAATTCTTAAAATGTGGACTACAATAATGGTTATTGAGTCCGAGGTCGTATCTCTATAAATAAACAAGTTATTGTATAAAATATGTAAAAATGGACTTTTCGTGTAGTTTTTTTTACCGAAAGTAGAATTAATTTGTGAGTGTCGCAAAGAAGTAATATCAAATATCTTTACTGATAGTTGTTATATGGACCGTGGTGATAAAAAATACGCATGTCACCTACTTTTCAGGTGGTCGAGAACTTGGAGGGAGGGGGGTAAAGATGGCGGAACGCGCTATGCATTGAAATGACTGTAGCTCTATAACGGTACGAGATGGGACATCGGTTAAAACGTAGTCTTAATCCAAAAAATATGGCCAATAGAAAAGGTTATTGGGTAAAAAGTTGTATCTTAACTAATAAAAAAGTTATAACAATAATAAGTTTAACAAAATCTACATTATACAGCTATTTTCTTCAAAAATCATATGGATTGTTGATAAATAATAGTGTAATTACTTAATTACCTGGCTAAATATTTACCAGATGCATTTTCTTATAAGAAAAAAATATATTATTACGAATGCATATGGTTTAAAATGTAAAACACGGCCTCCAAACGCCTTGGGGTTCGTCCGATAGGCTGCGTCATAATTGCTTCCCCCAAAGTTCATTGCCTTCCAACTCAGTGATATCGGGGTTGTAAAAGTATTTGTACATTTTAAGACTACTGACATTTATTGTATTTATAACATTCTTTTATAACTTTTAATAGTTATTTAAATATTTTAAATTTCAATAGGCTACATTTTATTTTAAGTTGCTTACGTTTTTTTTTTTTTAATTGTGTGTGGCTGGTTTTTATATACGTTTGTTCTTAGTGACTAGTGGATTAGGCAATTTTAAAGTAAAATTTCACCAACTTCCAAAAGTTAGGTACCTATTTTAATTCAACAAATAATATGAACAACCCGTATAATTGTTATGGATAGAATGAAGAGATGTACAGTATTTTTTATTATAAGGTATTTACTTTTGTCGTTATGTTTTTTATTTCATATAACTGTATTTAATAGAATCTGTTACATAATTATATTGTAATAACCTATAACATTATAATTAAAATTTAATTTGTAGTGGTTATCTGTATTATGCATTTGATTGCGGCGAAACCCCAAGTATTATATGTAGTTCGGAGGCCGTGTTTTACATTTTAAACCATATGCATTCGTAATAATATATTTTTTTCTTATAAGAAAATGCATCTGGTAAATATTTAGCCGAGTAATTAAGTAATTACACTATTATTTATCAACAATCCATATGATTTTTAAAGAAAATAGCTGTATAATGTAGATTTTGTTCAACTTATTATTGTTATAACTTTTTTATTAGTTAAGATACAACTTTTTACCCAATCACCTTTTCTATTGGCCATATATTTTGGATTAAAACTACGTTTTAACCGATGTTCCATCTCGTACTGTTGTCGAGCTACAGTCATTTCAATGCATAGCACGTTCCGCCATCTTTGCCCCCCCTCCCTCCAAGTTCTCGACCACCTGAAAAGTAGGCGGCATGCGTATTTTTTATCACCACAGTCCATGTTACAGCTATCAGCAAAGATATTTGATATTACTTCTTTGTGACACTCACAAATTGATTCTACTTTCGGTAAAAAAACTACACGAAATGCCCATTTTTACATATTTTATACAATAACTTGTTTGTTTATAGAGATACGACCTCGGACTCAATAACCATTATTGTAGTTTACATTTTTAGAATTACAACGACGTTTTAACCGATATTCTATCTTTTACCGTTCTCGAAATATCAGCGTTTTAACGCATAGCGCAAACCGCCATGTTTGCCCCCTCCCCCCCACCTTATCGACCACTTTTGAAATAGGCGACATACGTAATTTTGTTCACCACAGTCCATATTACAATAATCAGCAATAACATTGCGTACTACTTTCATGCATGCTCAAACCCCCTCAGCTCCTGGACTAATAGTTATTAATAGACTAATAGACTGCACCATCTAAAACTACCTTCTGGTAAATTTGCGTGCTTCAGAAAGTCTTAGGATGCATCATACTAATAAGTTTGTCAGTATATTGTGAGCCATCCTGAATGGAACTGTCTTTACCGAGCCCAGGTGGACCCCCCCCTCCCCTACTTTGAAATGTAACTAAGAAGAACCCATCCCCTACCAAACAGTGAGCAAGTCACTAGATATATTTATCTAGAGCGGGTCACAGTGAGATATTTTCACTGAATGTATTCAAGAAGAATAGTGATAATTGTTTTGGCTCGGCTATGGTCGTCTTCAACATGTTCTAATTATTCAACAAGTATCCAAAGAAATGTTAGCAAGATCATTTTAATATGACAATGTTTCTTTACAACTTAGGCCTACTATAGTTCTTTGTCACTTACTACCAACAAATTAATGTCTCATTCATGCAGGTTCACGTTTTGAAAATGGAAAACTTTTACTGTCACGAATATATACAAAAATATTTATTAAATTTGTAAACACTGTTTTTTTTTCAACTGTTCTTTTTTTACCTATTTATTTAATGAGTTGTTTTGAACAGGTTTCCCCTACAAACTCGATAGACTACCTGCCGTACAACTCCTTACAGAGGGTAGTGACCGATGGAATGAACCATCTCAACAACATGATGAAACCTCCACCCCCTGGGTAAGCTGAAACAACCCCTAACTTGTTACTAAAATATTTAAGTAAAAAGGTTAAATATACCTGTTGTACTGTCAAGTGATCCTGGTTTTTTTCATCAGGCAACCACTGTTTTGATACTAAAGGTTCATCATCAGACTGAATATCAAGTTAAGATCTTCACTGATTTTATGTAGAGTCTTTGTAAACAAACATACAAATACAACTACATGGACACAACACACACAACTACATAAACAATTTGACAAACATTTTACCAAATGGAAATAAAATTCTCAACATCTGCTACACCACGTGCCCATAGTTATTATTTTCATTCAGCCAAATCTTTGTTTAATGTACGTGTTTTTGTGTCTTACTACAGTAGACCCTCTCTAATCCGGCGTCTTTTGACGGGTAAGGTCTTCCACGATCGCAGCAAAATTCTTATTATCTTCCGCGGCCGTGTAGACATCATCATCCACTCCAGCGGTCACGGAAACTTCATCATCGTTTTTCGCGATAGCGGCAAAATCATGAGCATCTCCCACAGCCAGGTAGATATTATCGTTGTATTCCACGATCGCGGCAAAAATGTTATCATCTCCCGCGGCTATGTAAACAGCCTTACTCACTCCGCAGTCACGGAAACGTCATCGTCGTCTTGCGCGATTGCAGCAAAGTCATGAACATCTCCCGCGGTCACGGAAACGTCATCGTCGTCATGCGCGATCGCGGCAAAATCATGAACATTTCCCGCGGACGTTTAGACGTTATTAACAACTCCCACCATTACGGAAACATCATCGTCGTCATGCCCGATCACGGCAATAGCGGTTTCCGATCGCGTGATCTTTAGAGACGTGTTTTAAGTGCATTTTATTTTAAGTGTTTTTATTGATAACATTCCAGTAATCCGGCATTTTCACTAATCCGGCAGTATCACGAGTCTACTGTAGCTGGACTCTTTACAACATCACTGATAACTAAATGTTCTACTCGATAATGAACATTTAGGTTGGGTATCAGTGGACACCTTTAAAAAAACTGAAACACTGGACAACACACCAGGTAATTTTACCTACTTTTTTATTTGTATAAACGTAATCCATAAGCTAAAAATGTTTAAACTTTTAAATTTGTGGCTTTTTAAAAACATTTTCTCTGTGATACAGAGTTTATTTTTCTCATCCATTAATGTGAATATTTTTGCAAAAGGAAAAAAAGTTTGAACAAAACATTTAGTGTCACAAATGTATTCTGTAATTTTCAAAACTAGATGTTGTTTTTCTTGTTTTCTGTGTGTAATACAATAATGAACAATGTTCTCTATTGTGTTAGTATTGTCCTAGAGTATTACACTTAGTGTTGTCGAACGTATTAGAACTATCATCATATGTCACTTCATGCTTCATACTTATGAGCTTTAAAAATACAAACCATCACAAACTGTCTCTCACCAGCAAGGTGTTACTATGTGTGTTCTATGGTTCTTTAGTATATCTTGTACACCTAGATATATTAATGGTTTATCTGTTTGTAATAATTTGTTGTAGATGTTTCTAATTGTAACAAATCATTACATACAGGGTGAGTTTTAATTGTGCCCCCCACAATTGTTCCAGATTTTTTTCAAATACCAATCCCAGGCCACTTCCAAACATTGTTGTGTAGTGAGTACTTCATTTTGACAAAGCGGTCATTTCCAGCCGCCATCTTTGATTCGCCATATTGGATGCAAAATCTGTTTTTCAAATGTAAAGTTGGGGTTGTGACCCATTATTTCAAACTAGAATTTACCCTGATTTCAATGCCTCAACCCGTTAAAAAAATATTGATCCATTCCAAAGTTATGAGGGCTTTTTATAACTTTATTTTTAGCCAATTTTTACATTGTGCATTTACAAACCAATGCCATAATCTCAAAATAGTGCTAGATAAAGATAAGCATACACCACCAGTCATTGTCCACCTATTTTCACTTGGTTACGACAGATGTATTTTTTTCAGTTGCCATCTTGGATCCACTATTTTGAAATATAATAAATCATTATTTAAATAGGAAGGGGGTGTTGTAGCCCATCTTTTCAAATAACTTTTTTAAGCTAAACTCAATATCACAATCCATTTTTTGTTATCAAGTTTTTTTATGAAATATTGCAATTATTTTTATTAAAAATGTCAATATTTCAAAATCACAATATGAAAATTAAAAACTGATCGCGGAATTGAGTTCAGCTTAAAAAAAATTTTCAAAATGATGGGTCACAACACCCCCTTATGATGTACATGAAACAACACGAACACAAATGAAATACAATGATTTATTGTATTTCAAAATGGTGGATCCAAGATGGCGACTGATTAAATTACATCCGTCATAACCATGTGAAAATAGGTCGACAATGACTGGTGGTGTATACTTATCTTTATCTAGCACTATTTTGAGATTATGGCCTTGGTTTGTAAATGCACAATGTAAAAATTGGCTAAAAATAAAGTTATAAAAAGCCCTAATAACTTTGGAATGGATCAAGATTTTTTTAACGTTTTGAGACATTGTAATCAGGGAAAAAATATAGTTTCAAATAATGGGTCACAACCATGTAACCCATTTAAAAAACATTACATTAAAAAAAGATTTTGCATTCAATATGGCAAATCCAAGATGGCGGCCGGAAATTACCACCTTGTCAAAATGAACTTCTTACTACCCAAAAATGTTTGGAAGTGGTCTGGGATTGATATTTGAAAAAATTTAGAAAAAGTTGGGGGGGGGGGGACAATTAAAACTCACCCTGTATATGATTGTATGGATCATCAGAGGAAAAACCATCATCCCTTTTGATGACTCAAAATTACATATTAAAAAAAAACTAAATAAATACTCTTTATAACCTCGATTGAAGCTATATTTTAAACATTCAATTTATACAGGAATTTGAATAAATACTCAAATGGGACAAGTTTTTTACAGTTTGTTTATCAATATTTTATGACAAAGCACATGGGTGTATGTGTGACAAACACAACTTCATAAAGAACTATAAAGGTTAGGAATTAGGAAAAGGCCAGTTGGCTGATTAGGATTATTATGTACAAGGATAGGGATCAGCTAGCTTACCTGGTAGATAGAGTCCAGATTAGCGTTTGTAACACACACAAAACATATAACACAAAACAGTAAAACTTCATATTTCGTCATCTTTCTTCTCCCTCTTGACACAGAAAACATACTACTATAACCCAGAATGCCAACCGCGTGGTAAAAAGCATTAAGTGTTTTGAGAGAGCTTTGCCTGTCAATCGTAGGCAGCGCCACCAGCGTTGCCATGCACTCAGCTGGATGTAGATATAGTGGTGATAATAGGTTTAATTTTAGCAGAGGAAGAGGAGACACGAAGGCGGAAGCAAAGATTTTGAATGCACCACATAAACAGAAAAGGACTAAGTTTTGGAGAGTTCCACACCTTGTTTCCTGATCTTGTAGAGGATGATGTGAAAACCTACCTGATTTTTTCATAATAGATCCTATTTCTGCCTATATAAGTTCACGCCGGATGTTATTAAAATATTCCTGAAGTCGCATGTTGTACAGTTTCGGATATTTCTCAACGAGAACAATCACCTTACTAACATCTATGTAGTAAACATAGTATACAACACACTAAACCATTGCGACTTTGACAGAGTCCCGTGCCGCCCGCCCGGTCGGTGTGCAGTGCTCCCGGTCGGTACGGGCGACACGGGCGGTACGGCAGCTCGGAAATGTCCTAGAGTTCTGTCTCCCGGACTTTTTAACAAACGGCGGAAGCTGCCGAACGTCCATTGCCGGTCTTCCCGCCGTAGTGGGCGCACTCATATTACATTCAATGTTATTAACTTTTAAAAATTGCCGTGCCGGCCGCCTGTCCGTGCCGTGCCGCCGTAGTGCGCGCGAAGCTTAACAGTGACGAAATATCAAGTTTTCTGTTTTGCGTTATGTGTTTCATCTGTGTTACAAAAGCTGATCTGGACAATCTATACCAGGTAGCTAGCTGATTCCTATCCTTGTACATAATAATCCTTCATATAGAACTAAGTAGTTATATTTCGCTTTACATTAACATTTACAAAATTTGTTATAACTCTTGAGTAGGGTCAAGGATATGTTAATGTCACATTATAATTGCAATTTGAAGTAGATAATTTAATGTTCACTTGCTAAAAACATTGATTTGCTAATCTAAGTTTTTATGTTATATAAAATTAATAAACATTTAATCTTTGTTTCACCAAATATTTCAACACTAATTTCTTTATTTTGTATTAAATAACAGTAGAAATAAAGTTTTTTATGTTGTCAAAAAGTATTCATCCTAATCAATATTCTTTTAAGTCTCATATGTAGGAAGATTTAAATTGTTATTTAAGTCGTATTAACTTTACTCTACAAATTCAAATTTTCTGATGTAAAAACCACGATCCTTTAGTATTTTGCTAGAAAGGATGGTTTATAAGACAATAAAAATAGTTTGTTCATAACTTTAGACCTATAATTACACATATTACTATTACTATTAGACATATAATTACACAAGGCTTACACCTCAAGCAATCATTACTGTTGTATGTTATACATGTTCAGTTTTGGAATGTTTGGGAAAATAAATTGCACCGTTGCTAATCATGGTCGTGTTGATTCTTGTAAGAGTCCATCATTTGTGTTTAATTGTTTGTTGTCTTTTTCTCCATCTCGTGTTTTCTGTCGTGGCTCCTGTTAGTGTTAGCGTTAAGGAAGCAAAAGCATAATTTAATATGAGTATCATCATATTTAAGGGGTATAATGGTCGGTCCAGCCACTCAAATCCCTGTGCCTTAAGTTCATTATTTTTTTGAAGGGAGATAAATTCGAGGAAGGAAAATTAATTTTAAAAATAAGTTTTTTTTGTTGAATCCATTGTTTTATCAAAGTTTCTTATCAAAATGACTTAACAGATCAAAATATGAAAACATATCCTTTTCCTCTCACTAGGATGTTTTTAGGACACCATTTGATCACTGAAATAAGTGTTTTGTAGGCCGAGTACTAAAACCAATACTATAACATCCTAGAGCCAAAAACTGGCTTAAAATTTATAAAATCGTAAACTTATTCTAAACTCTCCATACCTATAAAAAAATTCAATAAAAAATTGGCAATAAGCACATTTATGTTTAATTTTTTTGTTGCTATACGATCATAAACTAAATATTCTAAACTGATTATCAATATTTATTAAGTCACTATGTAGTAGAACTATTATGTTTTGTTGTCAAAAGATTGTATTTTCACATTTTTAGCAAATTTTGCCGTATAAGACTATTACAGTACTTTAAGTTTCATGGTAAGACCTAGCTAGGCCTTGGACACTTTGTTTTGATATCCCCAGAAGCCAAAAACACACACAACATTCGTTCAAACATGTGTTCGTGTATGTGTCCGTTAGCACCATGACTTGGTTAAAACCATTCAATTCTGATTGAATTCGGTCATACATGTACAAACCTACACGATGCCTAGATTATAGGAACAAGGTTTTTAATAAGGGTTTTATGGAGTAATATTGTTTTACCCATTTTCGGCCATTGAAACAAAAAATATCCCAATTTCTTTCTAATCTTTTTGTAGAGCTTAAAAAGCAATATTTAGTAAATTTGAATGTTGTTGTATGCTTATAGATATTTTATTTTGATCAAATTTGAAAAGTTTATTTATTTCATACTTTAAGCGATTTATATTTAGCAAAAAACCCACTTAATTACCTTCTCTGTACCAGCAGACCTAATTACTGTTCAAAATTAAACCTAATGTTATTTAAACATGGAATAAATCTGACATGTTTAAGAGAATATTTTAGTGAAAATCCAATCAAACTAAAAGCCTGCAAAACCTCACTTTCAGCCCTTGGGGGGAAATATGCCATTGAGAATGAATTTTTGTTGAAAACATATAGACAAACAAAATCATTTGCTTTTTTGATGATTATATCAAATCATCTTCTTTCCGTAAATAAACATACCTTATTGCACAGTTCATTAAAAAAATGGATACTTAATCCTTTTCTGTTATTTTAAATGGTTTATGCTTTTACTTCTCTTCCGTCCCTGTTTCAATAAGTAAATGTCTAGTAGGTGTCCCAGTTGGTAGTTGTGCATTCTCCCTTTTCTTCAAGTTCATCTGTGTCTTGCACTGTTTGTTGTGTTGGTGTCACTGTCATCCAAGTTCATCATCATCTGTTGTTATAAATTTAAACGTTGGTTCTGTCCAGTGAAAAGTCAATGCAGGACATTGGCCAAACAAAAGAAGATGAGTCCATGATTCCGTTGCGACATCTTACAGTGTCCAATGGTGACGCGGATATGACTTACCGGCCATATCAAATTATCGAGTAAGTTGTTCCGCAGCTATTCTTTTGGTGTTTGTGGATTCCTGTTATGTACATTAACCACAAATATTCTATGAATTGTGTTAAAAACTGTTTGGACATCTTAATTATGCCATCTATATTAATACATTTGTAAGCAGTAAGCACTTATATTGGTCTAAGATTGAATTATCTATAGAATATATACATTGCTAAAGAAAAGGTTTTAGCAGTGGTCACCTAAAAAGTAACTAGGAACTAGAATTATTATTAATATACAGGGTGTCCCGTAACTCTCTGGACACATGTATATAGCGTTATTGCTTAGGTCAAGACAAACACATTTCACCATAGGAACATGGGTCTGTGGTGTCTAGTTTACCGACTGTCGGCATTTATGTGTTTTTTACAAAAACATGAATAACTCCTAAACGGTTTGAGATACAGCGTTGGGATTTTTCAAAAATGTTAATCTTATTAAGGCTTATCTTTGTTTAAAATTATACTAAAAAATCATTAACCGTTTCAAAATGGCAGCCATTTAAAATATTTGATGCCAAATTTCACGAAAACCGTTAACTTAACGAAGAAATTGCAAGTGACAAAAAAGTTAGTAGGTACATTCTATGTAGTTTTCAATGATACCTTATTTCTTAAGAATGGATAAATTATAACAGAGAAATGTCTTCTTTTCCAAATGCATGACCTCTTTTCTCCATTTAAACAATGCTAAACAACGTAAAAGGAGTATTAGCATTGTTTAAATGGAGAAAAGTGGTCACTGGTCATGCATTTGGAAAAGAAGACATTTCTCTGTTATTATTTAAAAATTCTTAACAAATAAAGTATCATTGAAAACTACATAAAATGTACTAACTTTTTAGTATCTTGCAATTTTTTTGTTAAGTTAACGGTTTACGTGAAATTTGGCATCAAATATATTAAATTGCTGCCATTTTGAAACAGTTAATGATTTTTTAGTATAATTTTAAACAAAGATAAGCCTTAATAAGATTAACATTTCTGCAAAATCCCGACGGTGTATCTCAAACAGTTTAGGAGTTATGTTTTTGTTAAACACACATAAATGCCGACAGTCGGTAAACTAGACACCACAGACCCATGTTCCTATGGTGAAATTTGTTTGTCTTGACCTAAGCAATAACGCTATATACATGTGTCCAGAGAGTTACGGGACACCCTGTATATTTGGCATAAATGGAATAATAAGACTTTACATCAAAAAAGTTTATTTGCATTTTTTTATGATACCAAAATAATCTCAAGATTTGTTTTTATCAAGAATATTACTCTATTTTTTATTTGTTTTCTTTAATAAATTATTTACATGAAAGTGTCAAGCTCTGATGACTATGAAATGAATGAAATGAAATGAAAAAAGTGCTTTATTGTACAATTACATAATAGTCAACCTCCATATGTACAACATATACAACACTAACGTGAACATGAAATAAAATACATACTGCTAAAATAAAAAATACCTTACACTTATTAAACAATGGTCTATGGTATCTATACAGCAGAGAGTCCTATTAAAAATTAAATTCTTGGATTGAATCCCATCTATAAAACCAGGCCTCCCTTAAAAATTTACAGAAAATACTCCAATCCTCCCCATTTAAATATTAAATAAACTCAGCTTGAGCCAAGAAATGTCTACCTAACCCTTTAAATGTAATGTTTTTTTTTTTATTGGACATTCTGCTACAAAATGAAATACTGTTTTATCTTTATTTAAATTACAAAGGGAGCAAAGCCCACTTCCATCGTTCCATGGTTTATAATTCAAATGAATCAGCTGAGCTCTAGCCTTAATAAGCCACGACACAAGTCCAGTGTCAGCCTTATCAGTCAGCAATGTCCTGCCGCCGCGGTCAAGGTCAAGGAGCAAGTACTGGTCTCGATATCGCGCTGTCATCGCTTGCCCTACACAAAAACCACGCCATCGCTCTCTCTCGCACTCGACCACTGTCGTAAGCTGCGCCACTACCCGCTCCCTCTGCTGTTCCCACGACTTAAAATCAATCTCAATATCGAGCTTTTTACCAAGTAATTTCCAAAGTGAAATACAACCAACATTCTTTGTAATAATTTCTCCTAATAAAGCTCTAGGCAAACGATCTGTTGACATTTTAAACATAATTTTCTTTAAATAATTTATATTTTGACCTAATGTGAATAAATGCAATTTTTCAAAATTTGTCCCTAAATACAAAACATAATTTTCTGTGTTTCTAGGCAATTTTAAAAATTTTTTAATGAACCTCCTTTGAACGGCTTCTACCTGTGCACTTGCACAGCAACCCCAAACCTGTGCACTGTAACACAAAATGGATCTAATAATGGAATTAAAACAAATACATTTAGAACTTAAAGAAGCAGTCCTACAATTTAACAATCTTGACCATGATGAGCTTATAGCAAACTTTGCTATTCTAGATTTCTCCTTAAAATGTGTCTCCCAGGATAAGGATGTTGTAAACAAAACACCTAAATATTTATATTCATTTACAATTTCTACAGGATTCCCCTTTATCATCTGCGTACATTAACATATTGATTTTTCTGCCTGCACAATTAAGACCTCCCCCAACAAATTCAGGCATGTCATTTATAAATAACTGAACACAATCGGAGAGCTTATACAACCTTGCCTCAAACCCACATTTTTGTGCTGAAAGGTAGCTGGTACAGTAACCCCCTCCTTACACCAAACACTTGAAACTGTGCCCGTATACATATTTTTTATTACTTCAATCACTTTCGTCGACACACCTAGTCACATTGTTTTTAAAGCGACAAAAAATCCACAAAAAATGCAAACACCTTTCCCCTCTTAACATTAAGCTGTAAACTTAAAATAGAATAATGATTAAAGATACTATCCACTGTTGAATAACCTTGTCTAAACCCTGCTTGGAATTCTGTTAAAAGTTTACGTTTTTCAACCCACTCAATCAATCTATTGTTCATTAAACTTACAAATATTTTACAAATGCAATCGATGAATGACAAACCCCTGTAATTTTCAACCTGATTAATATCCCCCTTTTTATGTAATGGAAAGATTATGGATTTTTTTAAACTGTGAGCTAAATTGAATTCGAAAAACATTTTATTGTAAACATCTAATAACATGAACATAAAAACATCAGGAGATTTTTTTTTAAACTCACATGGCACCCTGTCTACACCTGGAGCCTTATAGCTCTGATGACTAATGAATGGTGTAAACTTTATCATTCCAAATACAGTAGACCCCCTCTCAACCGGCCTCGCATTAACCGATTATCGGATTATCCACCCTCGATTGTAGAATATTACAGTTTGTTTTAACCGACCTTGCTTTGAGACCAGTTCGGTTTAACCGCTGCTTTCTAGGAATCTCGGCATTTCCGCTCCCATGCTCGGCGATGGGAACCATAAAGCTGGGTTTTCCTAGGCGCGGAATCGGCGAGCGGAGAGAGGAACGTGGAGAAGCGAGTTCCGCTCGGCCCGTGGCGGTCCGCTCCGCTGCTAGGAAAACAGTAACATTAAATTACGTAAGACAAGCTGAGTCCGCTCTCCGCGTTCCTCTCTCCGCTCGCCGATTCCGCGCCTAGGAAAACCCAGCTTAAGCTTACTGTCTCCACAGGATGTGACTGAGAATAAGTTATTCTGTATTTATCTCTAAAAATATTGCCAGTTTGCCATCATCGTGCTAGCACGAGCACGTCTGATTTGTTATCTGTGCGGAAAATTTATAAAATGTTAAGTGCGTTACGATTTTGATAATTGATTATCTTATCGCTAGAGTAAACAAACAACCAACTTGTAGGGAGTGCAGGAGGTTGGGCTAACGACTCCAAGGTCAAGATCGTTTTTGTGACTCCAGCCTCCAGTGAAAGGCTATAAATAAACATCCTGTCTCATAACAAAATGGTCGCTTGTATCTTTAATTTCAACAAAAAGTTCTGTACTGTATTACGATAGATTTGGAAAGCATCAATTAATATTACATTACTAAAGTTATTAAAATAAGAATTTTTATTGGCTCTTGTCTACACAACAATAATTTATTCCACTGAAATTATTTTACTTAAACATGTTTTGTGTTTATTTGTGACATTTTCTATCAATACAAAAAAAAGGAGATAAGTGTAATTCATTTTATAAAATAATGCAATTACGACTTCAAAATAATGATTATATAATTCCAAATGAATGGTACTTCATTATGTTATGTTTTTTTTTTAGGGATTGCCCGTTATAACCAACCTAGGTCCTGTCCCAATTAGGGTCGGTTAAGAGGGGGTTAACTGTATTCTTTTACAATTTAATGTAACCAGATTTTTGAAATTTAGTTTATCAACAAAAAAATGGTCTTTCAATCACATATTGTTAGGATTTCATCCTTTGGTCCAGTACCAATGTCCTCAATTTTTTTTAGGAATAAATTACCTTATAAACTGAAGAGTTTCCTCTTAAAAGGATCATAAAACAATGATGAAACTCTATGTAAATAACTCATTTATAGTATCAAAAGAAAGGGCTTTAGTGGAAAAGATATCAACAAGTTACTCTTGTTTTTTTTGTTTTTTTTATTGGCTAGAATTTCTAAAACGGGAGGTTAATATCATAGACTCCTGTAATTTTAAAGTTTAAATTGTTTTATTCAATACAGTAAGCAGAACCCCTCATTTGGCCACCACGGGACCAAGCCCTGGCCGGATAACGATTTGAAAACCAACCTACTATGAAAATGATGATTTATACCTAATAATGTATGTATTACATATATGCAGTCAAAAGTATCATTCTCAAGTCTTTTCTGGGATTTTATTTATAAGCATAAACATGTTTGTAAAAATTAAAAAATAAATTTATATGTAGCAGTAGTTAAGTAGTAAACGTACAAATATTATGATTCCAGGCAACAAAAACTATTAAATAATAATGGAGGTAAAATTGCAAAAAAAATTGGCCTTGAACATCATTAGAACTTAAATGGTACATATCAT